GATAAATACAACCGGAAAAAAAATTAAACATGATGCAAGTTGCAACAGAAATCCAGTAGTAAATGCTGATCAAACGAGGGACTTTTACCACTATTTGACCATCACCAAATTTCTGTCGTAATTCATCCAATTGTGATTGGGCAAGATCTCTTTCTCGCTTCAGTCGTTCCATTTCAATTTCCAACTGATTTTTGATGCCAAGATCATGTTATTAACCACTTTTTTGTCTCAATATGTTGGTAAATGTTGGCTTATGCCATATTAAAACAATGATGAAATTAGATTTTGAAGCAGTAAAATTACCTGATTAATTTTCAACTCTTTCTCCATCAGTAGGGCTTCAGAGCATGCAGAAGGTTCTGGAGTGCGCAATTCTGCTTCGAGTCTTGCCACTTCCTTCTGCAGCTGTTTAACCAACTGTTTGTCGGACACAACCTGATCGATCAAGATAGTTAGTTGCAAAAAATAAGTAGGCAAACAACATATATGCAGTAAAAAATGCAAAACCAACATCTCAAGTTTCAGTCTACATACCACATTAACTTGTGCTGTGTTGGTAACTTCTTTAGCGCAAGTTGCAAAGAACAATGTATTTCGAGATTGTTCTACATGGCTTAGTGCTGGACTCATAGTACAGATAATGGCAGTCCTTGCATTCCCTCCTAGAGAGCTCTGCAGTATACGTGTCAACTTTGAATTTCTATAAGGAATATGGACACCTTGTTTTCCTTGACTGCAGTCAGAAAATGGATCACATCAAAACCTGAATGTTCAGAATCTCAATTTTCAAATCTGATATTGCATTATGAGCTACCCTGGTCTCACCGAGAAAAGAGACAATTTTCTTTTTCCGAGCATAGATCCTATGACCATAGTATTAAGCATAAACGTGACATAAGAATTTGAAGCAAACAGAATTAAAAGGTTTCTTCCTAGTGAACTTGCAGAACCACATTATACATATCTAGGTGAAAGATTTCGATAACTTCATGGTTCTTATAATTTGCTTCTAATGATACAAATATAATAAGAGATAACCATGTGCAGTTCTAACGCATTTCTTCTAGATTCCTAACAGTCTTCCATTTGTTTCACACAGCGAATTTGGTTCAACACATGTTTTATCGTACACCAACATTGAGATTAGTTTAAAAGGCAATGATAATACATGTTGCATGACTAAAGTTATCTAAAATTTGCTCATGAATTGCTCCAATAGTCCATTGATTAAAAAGATATGTTCTTTTGCTTTTTTTTTCTGCCATCGTAGATAGCCAAGTAGTACTGATTTTTGCATCACAATTAAGGCAACTAGTATGCACTGTTTGTCTGCTATTAAACTTGTCATTTCTGCTTGCCAAAACTATTCTGTGGTCAAGGAACACTTCAGAAAATTGCATGGTAATAAATCACAACCAATCAGTAGAAATGTCTAGCAACTATCAGGTTGCAGTCAAGTCTCTGCTTCTATTTGTTTAGTTTACCAACTCAATTTTCATTAAAGATGGTCAAGAAAAATGTCAAGGCATGTCTTCTTTAGCAAAAGGAATCATCCAATGAATTAGATGTTTGGTCCACATAATGCCATTTTGTTTATTATTTTTCATAGTAGCAACTCAGAAGTAGCAATGTTTTAGGAATCATTACCTCAATGTTCTGATTACTGTTGTCAGATTCAACAAGCTACGATTTATATGACAGCCTTCTTTAAGCCTGGCACCACTTGCATGAGTTTGTCCGGCCCTCTCGCTTCCTGCAAGGTCCACAAAGTTCTGCAAGAAAACAATTCAAGTCCAAATGTCTTGGTGAACACGAAATTAAAGCATTAAAGGGCTGATAAGAGTAGCTTACCAGGCTAGCAACAAAAGATTTCACACAATCTGAATTTTCACGTACAGTACTCTCCACTATCTGCGGCATAAAACAATATATTTGCTAGTACTTTTAATCTTTCTAAATTCATAAAAAATCAACTACTACAGTAGAAGGAAAAATATTTAGCATTACCAGCCTTATTATTTGGTGTGATCTGGAGCTGTTATCATTCAAGGCAGTTTCACCAACTTGCCTTTGTTCTGTCAAACATTAAAATTTGAGTTGAAATTTAATCATCTTTAGTATAACTTTATAACTGGGAAGAATACAAAAGAACCAGTTAGTTAACCTTCACACAGTCCAATTAGATGCCTTAGATGCTGACTATCTTTTGCTGTTTCTTCTTCCAACTTATCAACAATAGTCCCTCTCTGTGCAGATAATGAAATAAAACAAAAAAAATTTAACGTCATAAGTATAGTGACAAGTCATGCTAACAGATAAAAGAAAAAAACATTGTGTACCTCGGGATCATCTAGCAAACGAAGGGGGCCAGAATCTGGTTTAAGCAGGTCCCTTACTATCTCATTATATATCTCCATAGCAGAAATTTTGATGGTAAAGTCCCTCTCTGGGGTCTTTATCACATGAAAAAAGAAAAAACAAGCTTGATACTTTTGGATTGGAAAAGCAAACGAAGACAAAATGAAAATATGTTTTCTATAAGAGCATATGACAACATAAAATAAAAATGTTTCATGACTCTTACATTATCTATGTGCTTGTAAATATCATTAACAGCATTCTCAGTTATCCCTCTCATGGTAAACGTTTTTCCACTGCTAGTCTGCCCATAAGCAAAGATAGTGGCTGCAGAGAGTATGGTACCATTGTCACAGGCGACCTTAAGAATTTATCCAAATATTGTATCATTTTAGGAAAGATCATTCTCATATTGATGCATACCATTGATTCCTGTCAATGCCGATAAAGCAACATCTTTGGCTCCTTCTTCATAGACTCTTTCAGTCAAACAAGCTGCTCCAAATACTTTATCTGACACACGAAGACAAAGTACGGTATATTCCCATTACAAATCATAGTTTTGATTGCATATCCAAAATGCAAGATGAATAAACTGGAGGTAGAAATAATTTGAAAATGTACCAAAAGTATATGAAGAGGATGAATTGGAGCGATCCTGAGCTGGCATCTTGAACACAATTTTGTTGTCATCAACACACGTCCATGCTTCTTGGTCCTTGAGTGACAATTCCTTCTTACTCAAAGGCCTCACACGTACAGTAACAAAAATCTTCTCCTCCTTGATTCTAGAGCGTCCAGGAGTATAGATCGGTATTCTTTCAATCTTTGAGGTTGGAGTATTAGGTGGTCTAGCTGCTGTCATCTTTGTGGATAACCAGATGCACGAACCTCTCCTGTTGGAACAGGGAATTAAACATGTTTCCGGATCAAGTCAGAATAAAAAGGAAATAGACCATTCTCACGGACAAAAAAAATAGCTGGCATTACTTCTTTGGTCAGAACTAGAGCTGGATTTCAACCAGCATAACAAAGAGATTAAACAAAATGACAAATCCACATATATAATCAGTACTATACCGTACGTTTAAGAGCTTGAAATTTGTATTTGATTTCAATTATTAAGAGGCAGGATGTCTGTGATTGATTCTAGCAGAGAAAAATAACAAACACAATAAGAGAGGAGAAACCTTATTAGGATTAGCTCAGGGGAAAAGTTGGAAAATCTCACATTCTCGAAAGCAGAGAACCATCAACATAAACATTTATAGTGCACCGTTTTCCTCCAAATAGTTGACACATCACTGAAGTGATCAACAGATTTCACAAACTTCTAGCTAAAGAAGTCCTAAATGGAGTAGATCAAAGTCCAAAGCAGTAAAAATTAGCTTCTTATCTTAGCTTTCATACTTCCTGGCAGTTCCAACCTTCCAAAATTACACATCCGGGAACTCCCATCTGCCGTTCTTCCTCATCTTCCAGATCTCTGCAATCTTATTCTTTCCGCCATCTCCTCTTTGATCCTCGATAAGCTCATTCCATTTAAAAGATTCGGTAATCTCCATTCTCCCCTTCAGATCGATTCTCTTATACGCATCATTAAAGCACTCACGTCAAAGTCAAGTAAAAATTAGTCCAGTTTTAGGGTTTCTCTGTAGTCCATTCAGCAAGATGACAAGATCAGCTATGCATTACAAGAAACCAGTAGCGGAACAGCAAAAATCCCAGAGCAAGCCCTAAAAGAGGTACCAAGAAAACAAAGAAGGAATCGAAGACCCAAAACCAAGAACCGAAACTTCCGCAGCTCTCACACCAAAAGGAAAAGATCGAGAAAAATGGAAAGAAATGTACCGAGATCGAAGGCAACAGGCCGACTCGCGGAACAAATCGGGGGACGCCCCGCCGCCTGAACCCAGTCAGAATAGGCAAAGAAAGGGAACAATCTGCGGTCTGGTGGGCAAGAAATTGGGAGTAATCCTTGCGAATTCGGACCCTTTATAGTCGACCGAGGTCGCAGCAAGGAGAGAAAGCGTTACGAACTCGAGAGCTTTGATTTGGTGAAGACGGTATGAAGGGTTTTGTTTGAGAGAGAATAAAAGCGAGGCGAAAAATAACACTAATAATAGAAGAGAGAGACACGGAGGTGGCCGTTTGAATTGAGGGACGCCAACGGCTAGTTCCGGGTTTACGTGCGCGTCGATTTCATCGGGCCGAGCGGGCCAATTACTCGCCACCGCCGAGCGAATCATTGTCGTTTCTTACTTGAACCTCTTACGCGCATGGATTACGCACAAATTGGAGTCTCGGACAAGCGCCGCCATCTCAGCGCGTTGGACGTTCCGCGTATGAGAACCGCGTGGGCGCTACTGTTGGAGAAATAACGAGCGAAGATTTAACCGATCTGAAACGTTACCCATCTCGCGTACCCTCGTAGGCAGCAGCGGGTCCCACCGGAAACCTTGGGTCTCTCCAATGAATCGACCGGTAGGAAAGCCACTTAGTTGCAATCGAATATAGAAAATAGAGGTATACAATAAGCATGGGCCCCTCTGGGTCCCAGTGTGGCAAGAGACCGGTTCATGTTTTTCCTGTCTGTTGCTCGCTTATTTGGATCAAAGAAAATGCCCAAACAAGAACACCAATTTGGTGGCAAGACACAGTTGATCTGAAACTTGTTATGGCCGCGGTGGCATCTGCAAGTCTTTGATGCTTCCTTCCAACATATCCACTATCTCACTCATCGACGGTCGATTCCCAGGCATCATCTGTATGCACCACAGACCAACAATTATCATCTTCCTCACAGTCTCCTCATTCTCACTGTTCAAACCTGATATGTCGATCTCATTCTTCCCGTCAAGACGATCGTAGATCCAATGAGGAAAGTAGATCTCGCTGGTGCTCTCGACTGCTGCATCTATGCTCTTCCTTCCCCCCACCATTTCCAGCACCATCATCCCATAGCTGTAGACATCAGCCTTACTGGACACAGCTCCGAAGTTCCTGGAGAACACCTCCGGGGCGATGTATCCCACAGTGCCACGAGGAGCTGCCATCGAGAGGATGCTTTCTTTGGGAGATCCCAGCTTTGCCAGTCCGAAATCTGAGATCTTTGGGCAGAAGTCTTGGTCCAGGAGGATGTTGTGAGGCTTGATGTCGAAGTGAACGATACGAGTGTTGCATCCGCGGTGCAGGTATTCCAGGCCTCGTGCAATGCCCACCGAGATCTCGTACAGCTTCTCCAACCCAATTGGTGTTCTTGTTTCGGAGTCCTCGGCGTAGATAAACTTCTCTAGGGATCCATTTGGCATGAATTCGTAGACAAGAGCCCTCTTTGATCCCTCCAAGCAGAAACCCAGAAGACTGACGATGTTAACATGGGATGTTCTACTGATGCTGACGACCTCATTGATGAACTCCTCTCCGTTTCCTTTGGATGCAGTTAGGAGCTTCACAGCCACTGAGCGGCCATCTTGGAGAGTGCCCTTGTACACAGTGCCATAGCCACCATGTCCAAGCTTGTGGCTGAAGGATCTGGTCATCCTCTTTATCTCAGAATACTTGTACCTCTTTGGGGATAGGGAGCCATGCATGTTTAGTAAGGCTTCAGCACTCTGCACATTTCCTTCATGAGACTTCTTATAGTAGATCAAGAGGAATACACACAGACATAAGAGAAACCCTCCAAAGCTAGAAAATACTGCAAAAGAATAAGTAGTGATTAGTGAGCATAATTGCCATGATCGAGTGCGTATATTAAAACTTATGAGAATGCCAACAATAAAACTAGTCTTACATTTCCCGATGAAACATAGTGACCTTAGGATGACTAATTATAGATTATCTTATGTAGTTAGATCTCTTTACTATCCTAGTTTTCTTAAACATAAAATATTTACATTGGAATCCTCATGATTATGAAAGTAAAATATTTAATTTTATTTATCCTATCATCATCGATTTTATTGACGAAAGCACAAAAATAATAGACAAAATTATTTAACTTAATTTACTCTAATATGTAGTCAAGATGTCGCAACACTCTTATATCAACGATTAAAAGACAAGTGATACTCCAACAAAAACACTTCTTTTTTCTGTATAAGCCAAGTAATTTTTTGTTCAACAGAATATGAGCTTCCATTCTGAATATGTGACCATTGCATCACTTTCCTTTTATCTTTTTTGTCTGTTTCTTCAAGTAGAAAGTCAGGAATATTGAATAGTTTTAACTTGGAAGGATTATGATTAAAGCACACAGGGCTAGGAAGAGATCTATATCAGTTCATGACATTCTACCTTTTGACAGGATTAGATTTGGATGCCATTCAAGCATGAGACATCAGCTCTTTGCCATTGTTTATCAACATGAGTTTATTGATGCCCTAAGCAGTTGATGATATGTTTCTAAACAATCTTTAAGCTGTACAGGATCATATTCTTTCTAATCAAGAAAATGACTTATTTGTTAATCTTACTCCTACAAGTAGAAGGATATGGAAGCTAGCAAAAATCAATGGCAGGGTTGAGAGGAGTGTTTCTTACCTATAATTATATGCTTTGCCCTCTTTGAATGAGCTGCAACATCAAGAACAATATCTGTCATAGACCATAAAACTAGATAAGAGATCAATTATTACAACCCAAAAACTGGACTAATAAATGCATGTAAAAGTTAATTTTTAAGACGAAGGTCTTGTAATCCAAACAAAAGACACAACATTTTGCTCACACAGTGGTACTAAACAAAGACAGAATACAGTTTTTCTTATCCTTTTTGCATGGCATCCTACACTGTAATTACATTCCACAGTGCTACAACAGGATATCACCTACTCTTCATTTAATGACAACTTGGAGCAAAGCCAGAGGGTTTAGAGGTTGAATAGCAAGTACTCTGTAGCTTCATGGATGCATCAAAATGTATGCAAAGTGTGTATGTTTCCAAAGAGCAGAGTGCTTGAACTTGTCCAAGATGATGTGATAACATTCTTTGTGAGAATGCTTGAAGTTTATGAGCATATAGGGACAAAAAGATTTAAAAGGATAAAAAAAAGTGATAAGTATAAGAGCTCAGATAAAGGCCATAAATAGTCTTTTAGGTTGCCCAATACCTCTCAGAGGCTACAAGAGCCATTTAAATGCATGATGCATCAATTTAGTGAAGCTTTCAGCACACACTACAAGCATGATGTTTGAGAAGAAAGGCCCCTAATATTTAAAGGTGAGACATCTCACAAAGAAAAAACAGGGTTGCAGGCCATGACCTAAAAACTATCAAATCTATGTCCATGATATGTCCACAAAACCTCTAACCACAGTTATATTGGCCAATCCAAATTGGGATTCGACAAGAAACAAATAATACAATATGCTACATGGTTAACCTATGTGAATGCTATAAAAGTAAATGAAGTGGAAGGAACTTCTGTAACTGCTATAGTTATCTCTGACTCATTATTAGGAAAACTTAAGAGAAAGTCTCTCACTTCTGTTCGATGAATGTAGCAAAACTTATGTTTGATGTTTTCAGATCCAAAAACTTTTCCTAATGAATTTCAATGAAATTTCATTGTATGAAACAATATGGAACGACATAGTCAAGTAGAAAACCATTTTCAGTAAAGAAAAAAAGCAGTAAAATAGAAGTTCATAGTGACATGAAATTTTGGCTCTATATATTGAATCGGAGAATGATTTGAGGAACTCATATGTGCTATGAACATTAAAACAAGTTGCATACAATACTTCTCTAACTATTTCGTTATGAAGACCCATCTCTAAGGACCAAAAAAAACCTGAAGTGTGTCTCAGGATGTCATGACCTCTGTATGAGTCAAGAATTGCAATTCAGATTCACCAGTAACTTAAAGACTTTGACTAGTAGATTTAGCAAAGTCAGAAGCATAAAGTTTTAGTCAAAATCAGGAAAATGGAGCCCCAAAGCCTTCACATTAGACCGATTGATGCGTTAGGGAGTAAGCAACCAGCTCACTAAAGAAATCTGGACACTTGAACCAAAACATGCGAATTACTATTCTATGCTTATGAATATATCCTTATAGCATGATCGAAGATCTGTTCTTGCCAGAGACCACAAGAACATATTCAGATTTGTCTAATCTTGGAAGAGAATGAACAAATTTCAGAACTTGGTAATACATACACAAACAATAACATCTCTGTGTGGTTTCAATTCAGAGACAATTAATCAGTTATATTCTGATGTTACTGGAGGATATAAGAACATATTCATATTTGTCTAATCTTGGAAGAGCATGAACAAATTCCAGCACTTGGTATGACAAACACAAACAATAACCTCTCTGTGTGGTTATGTTCTAATGATCTGACTACATCTTATGCTTCAAATTCCCGCAACTGATCAGTTATGTTCTAATGATCTAAATACAATAGAAGTACTTGGATTAAAGCGACATACTAACCACATTTCCTTAGATGGACTCGGTCAGGGCAGATGCACATGAATTTTGATGTCGTGTCATTGAATCCACATTGGCCGCCGCTGTCACTGCACACTGTACAATCCGGCGCCGTCCAGTTCAGCAACCACCCAGTCCTCAGCAGTGCAGAGTAGTTTACATCGATGCCCACATCGATGTAACCCACCACCGGCACCACAAACAGCTTACATACTCCACCGGAAAAGTTCAGCTTGCCCGAGCCATTGTACTCACCGCCGAAGTAGGCCAGTCCTCCATCAGCAGCACAAGATATGTTTTGGAAGGCAGATAGATTCATCGGGCTCGAGCAATTGGAGAGGAAGAAGATGCGCTTGTTGGCGGAGCTGAGGTCGAAGGGGTAGAGGCCGGAAGTGATGTTGAAGGTTGGTAACGGGCATCGATCGTCGTCGAATCCGGCGGCATTGAGCTGAACCGACTTGTTCTCGTAGAAGATGTTCTTGACATGATATAAACCGTCAAAAACGTTAAGAGAAAGGGTTTCGGCTTGGCCGCCGCTGCTGATGCAGGTGACGTTGAACGGAGAAACGCCACAATAGGACGGCTGCTTATTGCTGAGCCAGAAAGGGTACTTGATCGTGTGATTCCCGCATCTTTGAGGCTGACAATCCCCAGACCCAATAGTCGCGGCAAGGACTGGGCTGCCTACCACCAAACAAAGGATCCAGAAGAAGAAGAAGAAGACAGTAAAGATTACCTTGTGGCTCGGCAATATCCTGGGATTCATTGGAAAGGGGAATAACACAGGAGGAAAGGGAATGGGAAAGGAAGAAAGATGCAGATCAACTTTGGCGGAGAGAAGTGATTGACGAGGCTCTGCTCTCTCCCCGTAAGTCTATGGTTGGACAGGGAATTGGACGACTAGTCTGCAGATTTGATGCGTGGCCCAGTTGTCCTCTGATAGGCGATGTTTCCTGTGGAACGATTCCAGTCTATGGGTTTCAGTTCTTTTCGTCGACGGCATGCATGTCTGAACCTCCCTCGTATCTATATTCCTCTCTGTAGACTCCTCCCCCGAACTGCAAATGCTGCAGGTTGCATCAATCCCGCTGAATCCCTTCTTCTTCCAACCGTAGCTGTGAGCAGACAAAACAGCGACTTGACTCATGGAGGATGAGGTTGGTAATCCAGTCTCGTCTTCCTGCTGTCGACTGTAAGCATGAAGCTGGTGATGAGGTCTGTGAATTCGTTCCTTGGTTTCTCAAGGAGGTCATTCCAAAAGGATATCTCATTGCTCGTTTCTAACCATTAATGTTTAGGTTATCAATCGATTATTACCAATCAAATTCCACCAAAAAATTTGAATCGGTTAGGTCTGAGATGCGTGTCGATCGGAGTTAGATTGCGCTGGTTTGATTCTTCCTCTGCCAAGTCAAACTGGTTCCTATTTGATGTAGACAAGGTTGGTCAAACTTTGACCCATCCCATTTGACTGCCAATATTATAGAGCTGGAGTCAAAAACCAAACAGATCCATCAAATTATGTAGAAGTCAACCCACTCGTTGTGTATAAAGTAGGTGTTTAGTTATTGCCTCCGTGGATGACATTCACCATATTTAGTATTTAGAATCTTCTCCCAAAGTTTATCATCCCTATTGAGAATGGGTAGAATTGTTTTGGCCCATATGGTTCTCGTGTAGATTGCACACACCCAAACTCTCCTTTTCCTCTGGGGAGATAATGGTGTCCCAACAACTCAACTTAGTCTTGGAAATAGAATCCCTCTAAAAGAAATCTCTAAAATTTTTTTAGCTTTAATGATCATTTTATCAATAACATTCATACTAAGTAGGGAATGCATCGAAAGAGTATTGAGAATAGAATTTTGGATTTCACTTTTGATAAAGCTATCTAGGCATTTAAGAGATAATTTTTCTTCCTTAACTCCTAAGAACACACTAATTTAATACTTTATGATTGACTCATAATGGTTAGAAAATAAAACCTTATACTTAACACAATTTACCTTAAGTCTTTTAATCTATTTAAGAGCATCTAACATATTTCTATAAGATTTGAGATTAGCTCTAAAAGATAATAAGACATCGTCTAAATATATTAGGTAGACGAGAAACCCATTCAGCATATTAAAAAGGGTAATTCTACCTTTAACAATAAGATGTTACTAAGAACCTATTAGATAAAAATAAATAGAAAAAGAGATATTGGATTCTCTTGCTTAATACTTTTATGTGTAAAACTAAAACTAAGATATTATCATTAATAAGATAAGACATACAAGGAGAGAAAACATAACCCGAGTCTCACTTAACAAATTGAAGAGAAAATTTTATTTTATTCATGGCTTTATTGACGATCAACGAAGAAATTTTATCATACGCTTTCTCAAGATCTAGTTTGATGAGAATTAATAGGTAATTTTCTTTACGTTTGAGTATTATGTGAGCTAACTCCATATTAATAAATGTATTATCATTGATATTATATTTTAGCATAAATGCATATCATTCTTGATCAATCGATCTATCAATGTGATCTTAACTCTATTGACAAAGACTTTAACCAAAAGTTTTTATATTATGTTACAAAAAGTAATGAGATGATAATCTCTCACCCTAAAGCTATTGGGTTTCTAAAAGATAATCACTAAAAATGCTTTACCCCAATTATAAGGGAGATAAAAAATATTTTAAAAGCATCACAAATATTATCTTTGATAATATCCCAAAAGACTCTAAAAAACTCAATAATGAATCTAAAAAAACACCATTTGATTTAAGGTGTCATAAATTTTATTAAGAGAAAAACTCTTGATAAAAGAAAAGTTTCTTTCACTAGCAATATGGGAAAGTTGAGGGCAATCCCTTTCTCAATTTAATTGACACCCATCAACCACCCCCTATAATTTTTTATATCAACTAATAAATTGATATTTTTATACTATTATATATCATTATCTAAAATGATATGATTAATAATATTATATATCCTTCTATGGTTGATAAATATATGAAAATACTTTGTATTAAGGTCACCTTCCTCAATCAATTTGAATTTTGATTTTGAACCACCATTTATGATACAATTGTCGATTAAGAGCAATGATTTGCTATGAAAGCTAATTAAAACTTTACCCTCAAGACGTATGTGCTCATCTTTATATTCAAACAAATCAATCTTCTTGTAAGTGTCTCTAATCTTATACTCAAGGCTATTTGAAATTGACCTTGCAGCCACTATATCCCTGGTCATTTACCTTTCCTTTGCATCTGGATACTTCAACATTAGGGCTTCCTTCTCTCATTATTGAGTCCATCATTGGAAGGATGGAGAAGGGATCCAAGATGGGCTTCCTTCTCTCATTAGGGCTTCCTTCTCTTATTCTATTATATTTTTCCCCTTGTCTTTATTTACAATAACGTTAGCATTAATATTACGTGATAGATTATTTCATCCCATCCTTGTATCTTTCTAAATCCGATGGTTAGTATTTTGGAAAACCACTATATTAGATGTATGCAATCCTTCTCCTGTACCACTTGTATCATGATTAAGCTCATTGGATGTAAAGTGGACTGTTGCATCCCCTTTAACTTCATGATCCTTGCCCCTTTGACTTGTCCTCTTAAGCCCCTTATACTGGAGTTTAAGCTACCTGATGGGTTTAATTGTAACCTTACTTTCTTACCCTTAACACTAACTTAATTTGCCTCAACTATTTAATTTGAATGATTGGACCTAGCCTGAATATGCCATAAGTTGCTTTGGACCCAAATCCGTGCAGTACATCATCTTTAACCTCCCATCATTGTTCGAAAGACCTAGCATCTTCCTCTTAAGAATAGACCTCCCTTGTTTTTGTCGATTTCATCAAGCAGACATTAGCCTGATGCCCTACTCTTTTGTGGGAGAAGCACAAACTTAAAATATTCTCATAGACGGTGGATTAAGAAAATGATAAAATTATTCTTAATCCACACTCCCTATAGAATAGGCTTAGAGATATTCATCATAACACATCCTGACATACTTTCCTCTTATGCTAGAGAGCGTGATGTTGTCTAATTTGAGAAGTTTACCCATGAGTTTAGCAAACTTATAAAAGATATTTGGGCACAACATTTTCACTAGTATTCTAGGGGGTTGTAGTCAATGTTTCCGATCACCATTCACACAATGGTCAAAAATTCTTCCACTATAGGATTAACGTCAAAGCTTGCCTACCTATAAACAAAGGTAGGAGTCTTACCTACGTATAAACAAAAGAACTCTACAACAAGATCCATTATATTCATGTATGATAAAACTTTTCATGATTTTTGGAGGTAATCTAGTGGTAGATGTTTGCCTAAAATTTTTCATATTATTAATTTTATCATTCTTATCTTATATTTATAATTTCGTATGGATCAAACTCCAATACAAGTTTAAAACTTTGAATCTTCTGTATCTTTCCTTCAAGCTTGTCATCAATCATCCATCATCGCGTCAAAGTCAAAGCAAACCAATCACGCAAGAAATAAATAAATTTTAAAGATTTTAAATAAATCCAAATATGATTTACTTATATATTCCTGTCACATCATCATAAATTTCAAACAGAATATCTCTATAGCTGTCAAGAAGCATAAGTAAAAAAACAAAAACATAATATATATATATATATATATATATATATATATATATATATATATATATATATATATATATATATATATATCCCTGTAACATCTTCATTAATTATAGATCCTCCTGTGATACTCCAACGTTATCCTGAAAAGGCTGATTCTGAGGTGAGGAAAGATGGTCACTCCGACCCCTTTTTTCTCTTCACGTCCATTAAACCTTGGCTACACTGCTTGCTTCCGAGCCAAGAACGAGTCCCGACGGCCCCATGGAAGGACTACGGGACAGGCGGACCGGGAAAGGGAACATCCCTCTCGGGTCGTCGCCGCGGGCAGAAGAGAAAGCTTCTGCAGGAACGCAAGAACTTTGATTTCGACTTCCTCTCTGTGCATTAAGTTGACCACATTTAAAAGTACTCTGCTGTGGAATTCTCATGGTTGTGAGCGGCCAATTAAGTCATCTCATGTACTTTGTGGGATCCTTCCGTGTCCTAATAATTGACCATGGGGGAGAGGAACATGCTCTCTCACTCTTTGATTCTGTGAACCAATCCAATAACATGCTATTTATATATTTTGTGTTCGAAGAACAAGTAATCTGATGTACTCTGTGCAATGATTTTTCTGGGGAAGTAATTTAACCCCAGCCGCGACCACTGTGCCTTCCGATCCCCGCCGATCCCGACATGTCACATCACCTTCTTCAACCCATGACTGCGACCGTGTTGGGTTTGGAAGCTCCATCTTCGCTTCCTACCTTGCGGATCATATTATCCTTTGCCTTCTTCTGCGCCACATGTGAACGGTGTGCAGGTCAATGATGTGGGCTGCCTCCACCGCCCAATGTCAAACTTATCGCACGTAAGAAAAGGTTGAGATTGATACAGTACTTCTCCGTCACCGCTTCTCCTTTCAAAGCCTGAAAAAGCAAATGGCGTATACTGTAGATTTGACAGCGCTACCTTCTGTTGGAACCGAATCTAATCAATAGATCATTACAGCAACCTCCAATAAATCAGTCAAATCCCCTTCCTGTGCCTTCCAGATTAGCCAAATGAGCTAAACTTCTCACCTTCTTCCTCTCCCCCTCCTCTCCACCTCCTGCCGAGCTCTTCTCCGATGAATCCCGGAATCTTACTGAGCCTCAAGGTCTTCTTGATCCTTTCTCTGGTGGAAGACAGACCAGTCCTTGCCGCAACTATTGGGTCTGGGGATTGTCAGCCTCAAAGATGCGGGAATCAGACA